GCAGATCAGAACACATTTCATGACCAACTTATGCAGAAATCCAGGTAATTCCAAAGGGTTCACATACTTTTTCTTGCAACTGTACTTATTTTCCACCATAATTTGCAAATAAATTCTTTAAAAATCAGACAATGAGATTTTCTGGATTTTTTTTCTCATTTTGTCTCTCATAGTTGAGGTATACCTAGGATGAAAATTACAGGCCTCTCTCATCTTTTTAAGTGGGAGAACTTGCACAATTGGTGGCTGACTAAATAATTTTTTGCCCCACTGTATGCTGTTAAGTCAGGTGATTTAAATGTATCAATGAAAGGAAGAAGTGTAGGCTACATGATAAGAAGGGAATACAGTTTGAATAAAAGTAATAGAGTACAGTGTAACACTGTACTGTCTTACTTTTTAATGTACAAATACTCTGTTACTGTACGATATCAATAACAATAATCCACAGCTCCTCTCTCTGCTTCAGAGGATACAAATTTTTTTCGGGGGGTTACCCGGAGCAGCAACCTGCCAAGGCAGTAAACCTAGGGGAAACACTGCACAGCATTAACTTTCCTCACACTACACACAGAGCAACACATTTGTAAGTAGGTAGAAAGAAGTGTTTGTCATCAGATCAGATTAAATGTCACCAGTATTGTTTTTCTAGGATCATGTCACCATCAAAACATTACCAGTGATGTCACCNGAGCCTCCTCTGTCCTCCACTTGTTAACTGTATTAATGGCACCGGTTTGAACTCGTTATCAGTATAAAAGACACCTGTCCACAACCTCAAACAGTCACAGTGTGACTGTTTGAGGTTGTGGACAGGTGTCTTTTATACTGATAACGAGTTCAAACCGGTGCCATTAATACAGTTAACAAGTGGAGGACAGAGGAGGCTCTTAAAGAAGAAGTTACAGGTCTGTGAGAGCCAGAAATCTTGTTTGTTTATAGGTGACCAAATACTTATTTTCCAACATAATTTGCAAATAAATTCTTTAAAAATCAGACAATGTGATTTTCTGTTTTTTTTTCTCATTTTGTCTCTCATAGTTGAGGTATACCTAGGATGAAAATTACAGGCCTCTCTCATCTTTTTAAGTGGGAGAACTTGCACAATTGGTGGCTGACTAAATACTTTTAAAATATTTTTTAAATATGGATTATTCACAATATGCATTTGTATTCTGATCAGTTTTAAGTCTGGGATTAATTCAATTTGTTTGACTGCTGAAGCTAACCGTCACTTTACTGGGGAAAACAAATATATTTTCACGTTACCCTTTGCATTTAAAAACTTTCTTCACCATCCACCTTGAGGAATGAGTATTTAACATTATACTGTTTTACCTTCTGTATGTGACCAAGGAGTGACTCCCGTGAAAATGTTCAGTAACTGTGATATGGGCAGTTTTAAGAACAAGAAATATATTGTAACACTTGAATTTGTTATAGTTCCATCAGTAATGAACAAACCACAAATGCGTGAGAATAGATTTGACAAAAGATCAGAAATGTGTTTTGGTTGAAATCGGGTGTGAAACTACTGCATTCTAAAAATACTACTGTCAAAGTCCTGCAGGGTGTAAATAGAAAATGGTCCTTGAAATATTTTCCTGTATTTCTCCTCAGGACCTGCTCTTCCACTCAGACTGTGTCTCTCTGCACTGCAGCCTCAACGAACACAACCACCACCTGATCAACGACTTCACCATCAAACAGGTGAAGGGACAGCAGCACACACACTGTCCCACACACTCACGACACATGAATGATTTATTTATCCCTGCATCAACAGCGACACCCATTACCATAAATATTAAAGATACCAAGGGAAGCCCACTGCATTCATACAGATAAATTAGGTTTTCTACTGCTTGCACTGCATGACTGATATACTCAGGAAATTATGTTTGTCCTTCATCTCCAGGGCTCAGCCTGAAGCCAATTTTCTTCCCAAGACTCAGATTATACATTAAGTATTTCTGACCTTGCGGGAGAGGGGCAAGTGAAACGAAAATGTCTCCACGTGGATCAATAAAATATAAAATATGTATTACCGTACTAAGTCTAGGTTTCTCTGCACTGAGAGAAACAAGATGTATAACAGAAGAGCTTCCAAAGTGTGGGTGTACATTTGTTTTGTCCTACATTTTAAAACCAATATGCTAAAAGGAGAACAATTTGTATTTCTAAGAGTTAGGCTTACTATACAATGTTTCAGGTGTAAAGCTTTAACTTGTTAGATGAAATAAATAGAGTAAATGTGTGTTTGTGTGTCAAAGATGCGGCAGGGGGCGTTCCTGGTGAACACGGCCCGGGGGGGTCTGGTGGATGAGAAGGCGCTGGCTCAGGCTCTGAAGGAGGGCCGGATACGGGGAGCTGCTCTCGATGTCCATGAGACAGAACCTTTCAGGTAATTCTGATTAATGCTGTTGAATGTATCAACAGAGGCAGAACATAGTTTAGTGTTTGTTTACACTACTATCTAACTGCATAGCATACATTTTTATATTTTCAGAATGAGAAGGAATCTATCAGATTCTCTACCGGGAAGCTGTATGGGTGCATTATTTTGCAGCTTAAAAAAGTGAATTAGAGAGGGCTTATAAAACGTATACATATAAACTTATAAAATAATGGCATACTCAATTACAACACCAACTAGTTAGTATAGTCCAGATCTGCACAAGGTGTGTGTAGGGCGGGTCCACAAAATATTAAACTGGACAGAAAAAAAATTAAACTCACAAAACTGTGTTGCTTAAGTCTTTCCACTGTTCCAACAATCTCAAAACGTTACAACAGGATTTGGAAAATTCAACGAATCCTTTCTTTCGTAAGGAATTAACTACCTAATTGAACAGATTATTTAAGAATTAGTCGACACTCAATGACATCATTTGTTGCAGCTGTGACTGACTGCTCTCTGTTTGTAACTGTGTCAGTTTCAGTCAGGGCCCGCTGAAGGACGCTCCCAATCTGATCTGCACCCCCCACGCTGCCTGGTACAGCGAACAGGCATCGCTGGAGATGAGAGAGGAGGCAGCCAGGGAAATCCGGAGGGCTATCACAGGTAGCGCACACACACACACACACACACACACACACACACACACACACACACACACACACACACACACACACACACACACACACACACACACACACACACACACACACACACAATCTTCCTTGTCTTTTAGCAGAGAAGGATTTCAAGGCCTTTCACAGTCTGCCACTTTCTCTCTTTTTATCCACCTTTCCTTCTACTTTCTTTCTTGTGTTTCCCAAGTGGGTGTCTTTTCTTTTTACCATTTCTCTGTTCAATATTTTCTAATGTTTGTCGCTGTAGAAAATGGGTTAATAAATGTACACCTGCTTTGAAATGTGAAGCACTAACAAGACACTCAGTGTAGAACAATGGACTTTCCATTTGATTTCTTTTACACCATATTTCTCTCTTACATTTTCTTTCGTTCTTTTTTTTAATCTATTTTGCAGGTCGTATCCCAGACAGTCTGAAGAACTGTGTGAATAAGGAGTTCCTCTCCCAGAACAACCACTGGACAGGAGTCGAGCCCGCCACCGTCCACCCCGAGCTCAACGGTGCTTATAGGTAATACTCATCAGGATAAAGAAAGCTGTAGTGGTCAGTGCTGTTTCTTCTTCCCTCTCAAACCCTGGTAAAGTCATTGATTGATACAATGTTTACCAAATGTCTTTAAAACACAGAATATGTTGCTTGTTGTAAAACCTGAAGCGGTATTTAAATGACGGTTAAGCTGAAACAAAAAGTCTATTGTGATAATTTATTAACTGTATTTAAGTTGCTCATTATATTTTCTTTACTGTTAGGATTTGCCTTTATTATATATCTTATATGATATCTGAAGGTAACCTCTAGGACTCTTTGATGGCCGTCTTCACAATTTTATGTGGTTTAATAATCCAAAGATTTAAACTAATTGTATCAGAAAATTTGTTTTGTTTATGCCGGAGAAGAAATGCAATAAACAAATCCAATCCTACTTCTCTTTATTATCCTTGAGACTAGTACGTTTAAATAGCAATCCCTGTGATGCAAAGCTAATTTAGTGGAAGCCTAATGGTAAACATTTGCCCAGGTCACATTATTTCATTTTGTAGCTTCAGTAGTGCTTTGATGACTCAGTTTTTAGTCTTTTTCCCTCTCCCTCCCCCCTTCAGGTATCCCCCAGGAGTGGTGAACCTGCCAGCTGGCGGCCTTCCTCCCCCTGTTGAAGGCATCGTTCCCAGCGCTGTGCCCATCATGGCCCACAACCTCCAGCCCGCTATCATACACCCTCCTCATGCCCTGTCCCCCGGACAAAATACAGTGAAGCCACCAGAGGGCGACAGAGAGCAGCACCCGAATGAGTAACTGTAGCCACGCACAAACACACACTTGCCTGTGTGGTCTGGTGACAAGCTGTTATCAGACGCGTTCACAGAGTGTCAGATGGACAGGTTGAGGTCCCAATAACAATCGATTAACAACTCTCTGGCAAATTGTTTCTCAGCGGCCAGTTCACACTCCAAAGAAGAAGAAAATGACCATAGAAGAGGACGAGGATAGCTGTGAGATGCTCTAAATAAGAAGCAAGATAGTTGTCCGTTGGTCCAACAAAAAGCCCTGAGAAAGACTGTAAAGATCCACAGGTTGATCTTCAAATAAGAACTACAGTATAGTCACGTTTCTGCCAGTAGTTAAAAATAAAATCTGTTGATTTGGGATGAAAAGAGTAGTTTTTGCTGATATAATATGT